CCCCCAACCCCAACAGGTGCTCCATCCCAGTCCCCTCTCCCTGCCACGCCCTCGGGGCTGGGGCCAGGGCTCTGTGCCTGACCTGGGCTGTGCTCTGCACACAGGTTTGCAGTGCAGACCGTTAAAGCCCTGCTGCGCCAGCTGCTGGATGAGGACGTGCTGATGGTGATCGGTCGCAAGTGTGGCTGGGACATGCTCCTCAAGGCTGACAGCCACCACTATGCAGTGGGTCTGCTGGCCAGGTGAGAGCCCTTTCTCCCTACTGCCCTGTCATTTCTGCCCTGTGCACAGACCACCCCAAACAGTGCCCGTGCTGCTGGGCCAGAGGGCCTTGGCAGCCAGGGACGGCTGAGCAGAGTGGAAAAGGCGGAGAGGGGCAGCGGCACAGGAGGAACCACCTCCCAAAGCGCCCATGTCCTCTCCTGGGCTGGTGGCCAAAGACCAGGCCTGTGCGAGTCAGTCCCACGAGAGCTTTACCCACCTGGCTCAGGGTCTGTGGCACCTTTATTCCCCCTTGCAGGGAGCTGTGCCATGTCTCCCGCTCCTTCTGCCGCAGCATCGCCGTCAGCCTGCTCCCACGGCTCAGCAGGGAAGAGCCCCTGTGGGAACTGCCTGCCCTGGCGTTCCTGGTGGAGGTGAGCCTGATGGCGAGCGCTGCCTGGCCCAGCTGCCTCCCCCTCTCTGCCCTCTCACAGCCGCAGCCGCCCGGGACGGTGCCTGCACCCTGTGCTGCTGCCTGGGCCCAGCCCCGGGCGGGTCCGGGCTCCTGCCGGCCGGGCCCCCCGTCACTGCTCCCTGCCTTTCAGGTCCTGCACTGCCTGAACCCCAGACAATGTGGGCCCAGCGTCCTGCAGATAATTTCAAGGCGCCTGCGCAGCCATTGCCCGGAGAGGCGTCGCCTGGCGCTCCGAGGCCTGCTGGTGATCAGCAAGGCTCCCACAATGGTGAGCAGGGGGCAGGGGCTGAAGCCGGGACGGCAGCCTGCGGCTGTGAAAGGCAGTAGCTTGGCCTTGGCTGGCCTTTGGCAGCTGTGGCAGCTGCTCCCAGCTCTCCTCCTCCCTGTTCAGCTGCCCAACTCCTTTGGGACACGCCTTTGGCCTCTGGGCCCCGCGGCACCAGCGTGGGGCTGCACCCCAGCATTGTGTTCCACACAGGCTAAGAGCATCTGGAGCCTGAATGAAAGCCTCCTGGAGCTACTGCAGGATGCAGACAGAGATGCGGTTGAGATGACCCTCTCTGCGTTCATCAACGTGCTGCGCTTGAAAATCATCCAAATATCCAACCCCACTGCCCTGAAGTTGCTTGAGGCACTGCAACCACTCTTTGACAACGTAAGGCTCTGTGCCCCTCATCATGGGCACTGAGTGCTGCCAGGAAACTTTGGGCCCAGTGCCTTTTCAGGCCTGTGCCCCGGTGGGCCTGGAGAAGCCAGTACTGAGGTCTTTTCTTCTTCCTTTGCACCAGGAGCACAGCCAGCTGCAGCAGCTCTCCATGCTCCTCTTCCGGGAGGTGATGGAGGCAACAGAGAGGAGCAAGAGCCTAAAGCCACATGTGTACCTGAGGCTGGTGCCATTCTACTTCAACTGGCACGATGAGAACCAGCTTGTGGCAGAGGTGAGGACTTGTGGGTTCTGGTGTCCCCATGGCAGGAGGCTGCTGTGCCTCCTGCCCTGGCCCATGGTTGCCTGCAGCCTCCTCCTGGCCTTGGTGCAGGGATGCGGGTGCTGTGCCCTGGGCTGCGGTGCCATGGCCCGCTCTGTGTTGCTGTGCAGGTCTCTCGGAGAGCACTGTTCGGTGCAGCCAGGTTCCTGAAGTGGAGGGACCTTGAGCACTTGGTGACCATGGAGCAGCAGTGGAGGTTTCCCGAGTGCCTGGTAAGGACACAGCCCCAAAGCCCCAGCCCCTGGCTCCCTGGGAGCACCCAGCCCTCTGCTCCCCCCAAACCCAGCCCCAGTGGCTGCTGGATGGGCCTCAGGGCTCTGTGGGCAGGGGAGCCCCGTGCTGGGGGCAGGGAGCGCCCGACCAAGGGGCAGAGCCTGAGCCCAGCCTCCGTGCCCTGGCACTCTTTGCAGCTGGAAAAGGACAGGAGCCGAGTGGGCCAGTACGTGCGCCAGGCCCTGCCGTACCTGCAGAACCCAGAGGAGCCCCTGCAAAAACTGGCCATCAGGTTTCTGGGTGAGCCACAAGCCCAGGGTCCCTCCCCGCCCTACTGCAGCTCGGCCCCAGCCCCGGCTGCTGCAGCGGCAGCAGGATGCGGCCCAGGGCATGTGGAGCCCCGAGTGGCCTGGCGCCTGCTGCCACCCTGTGCCAGCCCAGCCCTGGGGCGTCCCCATGCAGGAAGGCCCTGAGCTCAGCCCTGCCAGGCCAGGAGGCCATGTGGCCGGGCTGGCAGCGCCGCTGCGGGGGACCTGTGCCTCTGGGGCCTGACAGGCTCTGTGTTCCCAGGGATCGCCGCCAGGTCCATGAAGCAGGAGCAGCCAGAGCTGCAGCTCATCTGCCAAGGTGAGCGAGGGCACTTTCCAGTTCATCCCCTTGGGCCCTGCTCCCTCCTGGCCATGGCGAGAGCTGGCTGGGATGGCTCTGGCAGGAGGGGTTCCTTGCGTCTCCACACCCCTGGCCTCTCACCTTAGCTCTTTTCCTTTCTCTTCCAGCCCTTCAAAGCATGACTGATGACAGCCCTGCTGTCTCAGACCTGGCACTTGAAACGCTCCACATCATCAGAGCTGTACAGAGAACTCCATTCTTCCCATTCTGGTAGTCTCCGTTGCTGCCTCTTCCAGCCCGTAGAGGCGTGACAGATGACATCAGACTCGCCATGGCAGGCCTGGCAATTCAACACTGCTACGTGCTGAGAACTGTACAGATGGCTCCCTACTGCAGATTCCAGCAGCTCCAAGACTGGCTGTGCAGGGCGTGGCAGGCCCGGCCTTTTCCACAGGGCAGTGTCTGCCTGTGCTGCTGACGCTCTGTGGAGAACTGATGCAGGAAGCTCCATCTCCTGGGGCCACCTGAGCCTGTGGGGAAGATGCTTCTTCCCTGCAAGCACCTCCTTTGAGCCCAGCATAGGAATACAACCAATATGTTATCACACATAGAGGCCCAGGAGCTTTTTTTTGGTGCCCAGTGTGCACAGGGCCTTGGGAAAGAGAGGAAAAGGGCTCCTTGTGCTCAGCAACACTTGTCCCACTGTGCAGTGTGCCAGCAAAAGTGGGCAGAAGCCCCTTGGCCTTTGGTGGTTCTGCTGGAGCCTCAATGTTTCCAGCAAAATGGAGGGGCAGAGGCTGGAGCTGTGGGGAACCCTGAGGACCTTGTCCTTGGAGATGGCCACAAGCCCTCCCCCAGCCAGGAAGCAGCGTCTGTGTCCTGCCTGTGTGTTGCTGGCTGGATTGCTCCGGGCTCCCAAGTGCCTCTGGAGCAGCTCCTCTGGAGCTCCTTCAGGGCTGCGCCGCTGCCGGGCAGGTTGGTGGGGCTGGGGGAGACCCACAGGGGAGGGGGCACTGGGAGGCCAGGAAAGGGTGAGGTGCTGTGGAGGCCCTGATGGGACAAGGGAGCGGGAAGCCTTGAGGGGAATCTGTGAGGGGGTGGGTGGCAGAAGGCTGCAAGGGGACAGACTGGGTGCAGGCTCCGAGGGGCAGGGTGAAGGGAAAACCCCAGGACTTGGGGGGCAGAGGTCATAAGCAGCCCCCAGGCAGCCACCTCCTTCCCTGCCAGCCGGCTGCTCTGGTGCTTTCCCGAGGCATCTCCCAGCCCTGTGGCAGAAGCCCTGGAGGCCAGGCCTCAGCAGCAGGGTGGGCACACCCCAAAGGTGGCCAGGCTGGCCTGGTTGGGGACAAGGAGGGCAAGGGGGCCCTGCAAGGGCACGTCTGCCGGGTGCTTCCAGCGAGGGGCAGTGGCACAGGCAGGGCTGGTGGCCAGCCCGGGCCCCCGCGGCTGCCCAGGCCACGGGGCTGTGGCCGACAGCCCCCTGAGCCAGAGCTCTGGGCCCGCAGAGCTGCTGCCACCACGGGCAGGGCACTGGGCTCTTCGGGCAGGCCTGAGAACTCGCTGCTGCCCAAGCGGCTCCGCGCCCCACAGACAACAGCACCAGAGGCTGCCCAGGAGCAGCAGCACCCACAACACCTGGGCCTCCTCACCCAGGCACCCACACCCACCAGGACACCACAAATGGGCAGACTGTGGGCACAATTGCACCCGCTTTGGCAAAAGGCTTCAGGGCAAGTGGCCACCACAGCTTTCCAGTGACTCCCCAGCCTCACAGCAACCCTTGGCAGCTTCAGCAGCAGCCTGACATCCTGACTGACTTCAATGGCCCTGCTTGAGGCTGGACACGCCTTCCACACTCAGCTGTCCCCAGCCAGTGCCACTGGTACCATCCTTAGAGACTCTGCTGGGACACCAGCCTCGGGCTGCAGCTGCTCAATCTCTCCTCCACACAGGCACCTTCAAAACACGGGCATGGGCTTCTAAACTCTACATTCAGCACTTGAGGGCAACCAATGAAGAAGCAGCAGAAGCTGAAGTAAAGCAGGGCCTCATGTGGCAGAGCTTCAGGGATGGAGGGAAAGAAGCACTGTGGTGTCTGCTTGTGCTGGTTTAAAGGTAAACCAG